CCCAGCCAGCATGGCTGGCTGGGGAATTCTGGGAGTTGAAGTCCATCCCTCTTAAAGTTGCCAAGGTTGAGAAACACTAGATTAGGACAGGAGAATCGTCCTATTAATTATACTTGGTTTTAATTACCTGAAATGAACTCTGTATTTCTTTCCCGGCCCCATGAATGATTTTTTGCAGCGCAGCTGCAGACATGCCACTTCAAAGCCCAGCCACGCAGGCCACGAGAAAGGCTCAGTGTGAAGCCTGAACCCAACCAATGTTTGTTGGCTTACTCGGCGTGACAATGTTGGCGTGGGACCAGGGAGCCCCAGGTTCGAGTCCTCCCTCAGCCACAGAAGCTCGCTGGGGACTTAGGATCAATCCTCCTCTCTCAGCCCAGCCTACCTCCCAAGGTCGTCGCTGTGGGGGATAATGGGAGAACACTCTGTATGCTACCCTGAGCTCTGGAAAGGAAGCAGGACAAACCAATATAAAAGTAGCGTATATATTTGCATATAAACCCATCCACAGGTTTATATTCATTATTTTCCATGGAATTTCACCTTCCTAGATTTATATATCGTTCCTTCAAACGTTCCCAACCACAACCCTGCGAGGACCAGTCGATGAAAATAGCTGATAATCACATCGCTGATTCCCAGCGGCTATTTCTTTACTTACTGTATATACTTGCGGACAAGCTGAGAATTTTAGGTGCCAATATACACCCCCAAAATTGGGTTCGGCTTATCCGCAGATGGGCTTATCCACGAGTATATATGGTAATACTTTTTAAAAGTACCTGCATTTCCCATATATACAGTACTTGCAGATAAGTCCATCCACAAATAAACCAACCCTCGAATTTTTAACCAAAATGCCATGAAAAATAAAATTACAGCAGCATACAAACTGGACAAATAAAATGAAATAAAATTAAAAGCATTACAGTATTTATTTATCTATCCCGTGTATTTATCAGCTATTCTCATCGACTGGTCCTCGGAGGGTTGTTGTTGGGAACGTCTGAAGGAGCAAGATATAAATCTAGGAAGGTGAAATTCCATGGGAAATAATGAATATTTTAATGTTCAGCAGCTGAAACCTTGTCATTGGACATTGCCACAGACCACATTTCCTACAAAAATTACTGCAAAAATAAATAAATGATCATGATAAGAGATGCAAGGAGGAGGAGGAGGAGGAAGATATATGAAGAAATAGATCTGCAGTGTCTAAAGATCTGCCTTGCCTTTTACTGCTTGCAAAAAAGGATCAACACATTCCTTTCTTCAAGACAAACTCACTGCCACCCAGACATCTTTAAATTTGAGTCTTTCCCAGACTGGCATCCACCAGAGGCACCCCACCACCCATCATCCCCATCTCATAGGCCTCGTAGTCCAACACATCTCTGATTTCAGCACTTCGAAGGAGCAACGTAATTCAATGCAGCCACCAGTCTCACCACCAACATCTCCTTAAAAGAAACTGAACCTGCTCCGCAAAAGAACACATAAATAAATACTGGGAAAAAACTCCTTCTATTGCCTGAAATGTTCAGAACATTTGGGTTTTTCCCCCTTCCCCAAAGAAGAAGAGAAAAAGGCAAAAAGCAGTTCTTTGATCTAGCAAACCTTTCTCATCCTTTTGGGAAATTCATCAACTCCAACCCTGTTCAAGCTTCGGCCCCGATCAGTGGGAACAACTGAAACCCACACAGACCAAGAGTTAGAAGGACCTGGTTTGTGTTGAGCTGTTAAACCCTCTGTCAGTTTTTA